AGTTGGACAATGACTAGGGAGGACAGAAGGAGAATTGATGCCTTTGAACTGTGGTGCTGGAGAAGAGTATTGAATGTACCATGGACTACCAAGAAAACAAACAGATTCATCCTGGAGAGGATTAAACCAGGCTACTCCTTGGAGGCAAGACTTTCTGGGGCTTTGTCTGACATACTTTGGGCATGTTGCAAGGAGGGGCAGGTCCTTGGAGAGACACATCATGCTTGGGAGGGTGGAGGGATGGCACAAGAGGGGAAGACCCTCTATGAGATGGATTGATTCAGTGACTGAGGTAATCGGGATGGGTGTGTCAGAGGCAGTGCGACTGGCACAGGATAGAGCAGCGTTTAGGGTTGTTGTACATAGGGTCGCTATGAGTTGCAAACGACTCGACGGCACATAACAACACATCTGTTTATTATTTTTTTCGACTTTCACTTGTGGTTTGATCTTGGGTTATGAGCTCATATTTGCTTCATAGGGAGAGAGCTCTAGTGGCCTAGGGGTTAAGGAGTTGCACTACCAGCCCAAAGGTAGGCAGTTCCATTCCACCAGCTGCTTCAACAGAGAAAGACGGGCATTCTCTTCCCATGTGACTTGCAGGCTCTGAAAACCACCGGAGGGTCATCTTTAAGTCGGTTCTGACTCCACAACACATAATAACATTTGCGTCACCTTCATCTATGGAAACCGAGAGAACCTACCTAGTTATGGAGTACTCTGTCCTAAAAGGAGTTACAGGGAGTTACAGTGCTGTTTGCCTGCACCTAAGACTGTTACCAAAGGGGACCAATGTTAGCTTCCTTCAGGGTTTGATGCGAGAATTCAACTCCCCCAATTTGCCCTATTTTAATTGCTTCCAAATGTTGCCATGCCTGTCTTTGGAGCAATTCCTTTTCCATACCTTTTCAATCTATATGCAGAGCAGATCATCAGGAAGCAGGGATTTAGGATTGAAGGAAGACTCATCAACAACCTACATTATGCAGATAACACAGCCTTGCTTGCTGAAATTGAAGAGGACCTGAAGTGCTTGCTGCAGGTCAAGATTTGTAGTCTTCAATATGGATTAAAACTAAACAACAAGAAGACAATGATTCTCACCACTGGACCAATTGACAGCACCATGATGAAGAGAGTGAGGTTGTTAGCAACTACAGCTTGCTCAGATCCACAATCAATTCTCTTACCACCCAACAGTCAGGAAATCAAAAGACAAATTGCATTAGGAAAATCTGCTGCTGTTACGGACTTCTTCAGAGCACTGAAAAGCAATGATGTCAGTCTAGAGACTAAGGTGCACCTAATCCAGGCTATGATTGTTACACAATTACTTGCTATGCATCAGAGAGCTCAACATTGATTAAAGATGACAGAAGAATTGATGCCTTCAAATTGTGGTGCTGGTGAAGAATCTTGAACATACTGTGGACCACCAAGAAAACAAATAGGTATATCTTGGAGAGGGTGAAACCATATTTCTTCTTGGATGCTAACATTTTGAAGCGCCATCTCACATACTTCGGGCATGTGGCCAGGAAAGACTGTTTCTTGGAGAAGGACATCATCCTTGGAAGAGTAGAGGGGCAGCCAGGAGAGGAAGACGCTGGATGAGATGAATTGATACAGTAACTGGGGAAATGGGGTTAAGTGTGTCAAAATTAGTGAGACTGGCTCAGGACAGGGCAGGCTTCAGAGCTGCTGTACATAGGGTTGCTGTGGGTGACAGGCAACTCAACGGCACATAACAAGGTGCACCTAATTCAGGCCAGGGTCTTTTCAATCACTTTCTGTGCATCTGAGAGTTGAACAGTGTATAAGGATAACAGAAGAAGAATTGATGCCTTTGAATTGTGGTTCTGGAGAAGAGTTAATATACCTTGGATGGCCAAAAGGAACAACAAGGTATGTCTTGGGAAAAGTATGGCCAGAGTAATCCTTGGAAGCAAAGATGGCGAAGCTTCCTCTCTCATACTTTGGACATGTTGCTAGGAAAGGCTGTGTCTTGGAGAGGGATATCATGCTTGGAAAGGTAGAAAGGTGGTCAACAAAATAGAGGAAAATCCCCAATAAGATAGATTCGCCTAGTGATTGAAGCAAAGGGCTAAGGTGTATGAGAAATTATGAGGATGGTGCAGGATAGGACAGGACTCAGGTCTGTTGTTCATAGGGTCACTGTGAGTTGTACTCCACACAAGGGCACCTAACAACTCTTACTTCTGCTTTCAGTTCATAGTTTTCTTTTGCTGAGATGTATATAGAGGGGACTAGAGAGGCTCCTTGGAGCTTGTCCTTACATCATATACTTCCTACAGGGCACTTGAATATTTTATCCAGAATCTCTTTGTTATTTAGTGGATTCACCCTAAAGCATATTTTGTTGTTGTTGTTGTTATGTGCCATCAAATCAACTACAACTCATAGTGACCTTATGAACAATAGCTCTGAATCTTGTCTTACACCGTGCCAACTACTCCATCTCTGAAACACCTGATCCTGTTGCCACAGTCACTATATCAATACATCTCATCTAGGGTCTTCCTTTCCTTTGCTGACTCTCTCCCCTTCCAAGCATGATGTCCTTCTCCAAGGACTGGTCCGTCCTGGCAACATGCCCAAAGTATGTGAAGCAGAGCCTCAAAATTCTTGCCTCTAAGGAACAACCTAGATTCACCCTTTCCAGGACAGTTCTGTTCCCTTGGCCATTCACAGTTATGTTCAATAGTCTTCTCCAGCATCACAACTCAAAGGCATCAATTTTTCTTCTCTCATCCATATTCATTGTCCAGCTCAGATGCATAGCAATGCATTGAGATGACCATGGCCTGGACCAGGTGATACCCGAAGGGAAAAATGGATAAGAAGCATTGGTTACTCTCTCTTGCCCCTGAGAACATTTCTAAATTTCTCTCCTGCCACTAGAGCTGTGGCTGGTTCTCTCTAATTCTGTCAGCATCTGTCCATTTCCACTCCCCTGTTGACAAGTCTTCAATTTTTGACGGTCCCAATCCCTTATGGTTGAACAGTGCTTTACAGATTGTAAAATACTTCTGCATACAGTGACCTGCCTCATCTTCTTATCATCCTTCTGAGTAATATATGGTTGTCTCCATTTTAGCAGAAGATACTGGGTTCCAGAGAGTCACTATGACGTGTGTTCGTGAGAATAACAAGACCTCCGCCCATGACTCCTGGCTCCAGCTCCATTGCTTGCCCATCTCTCCTTGCTTCCCATGAGTGAGAAAGTAAAACACAATCAATGATTCAGTCTTTCCACTACTATTTGTTGGGAATCTGTTAAATCTCAGGTGCTGTTCCAGGCATGCAGATAAAGCTCATAACAAAGTCCCTTCATTACTGTGTAGTTTATGATAAATCAACACTATTAGAATGGCAACTACTCTGATGGAAAGGAAATAAAACGGGGGCATGTGGCTGGACGGAATGAAGGGAGAAGCCATAGGAAGAACTGGGAGAATGAGCATTGCAGGTAAAGGGAGCAGCAAGTACCCAAACCCAAGACAGGAGAATAGTGAGCATGTTCCAGGAAGGAAAAGGACTTCGTGAATTTAAGCCGAGGAAAGCCAGCAATCAGGAAGCAATGTGGTGTGAGTCAAGGGCAGAGTGGTGGGAGAGGAGGTGGGAGGGGTGGCCGGGGACCACGTTACGGTGTTGCTTTTAGATGTCATCCATCCCCGCTCGTAATGACACTATGGTCAGCAGAAGGAGACCCTGCCCAGCCCCACAGCATCCTCATAGCCACTGCAGGGCTTAAGCCCATTGTTGAAGCTCTAGGCCATTGATCTCCTTACATTCTTCTCTTTCTCGCTGACCCTAAACTTATCCCCACTGACTTTGCTTTTAGCAAGCACGGTATCCTTCAGGGACCCTTTTTTCTTTCTTTTTTTTTTTCTTTAAGCAACAAAATTCATTGCCATAAAATTGGAGCCAACTCAGTGCTGACCCTCCAGTGAGTTTTCAGAGACAGTAGATCATAGGGGGGAGGAGATTGTCCATCTTTTTCCTGTGGAGCACCTGGTAGACTAGAACTGCCTGCTTTTGGGTTGGCAGTGTAACTCCCTTACTCACTAGGCCTCCAAGACTTAATAAAGGCTTAATAACATGCCCAAAGTATGTGAGACCAAGTCCTGCCATTCAGACTTCTAAGGAGCATTCTGGCTGTGCTTCTAAGAGAGATTTGTTTGTTGTTCTGGCCATCCATGAGATATTCCATAGTCTTTGCTAATAACCACAGTTCAAAGGCATCAGATCTTTGATCTTCTTTCTTCATTGTCCGTCTGAGGTGACTAAAAATAGAACTCTGGGTTAGACACACCTTCGTCCTCAAAGTGACATCCTTTCTCTTCAGCACTTTTAAAAGTCCTTTGCAGCAAAAGTGCCCAAATACATTTTTAATTTCTTAACTGCTGCTTCCATTAAATCAAAGTTTAAAAAAAATCAAAGTAAAATTAAATCACTGAGAATTTCAGATTTTTCTATCATAATGTCATTTATCATTTGTGTTGTGAGGATCTTTCTATTGGAGTATAACCTATACCAAAGACTGTGACCTTTGATCTATATCAGAAAGTACTACACGTCCTCGTCACTTTCAGCAGACACTTTTGTGCCATCTGCGTAATGTAGATTGTTAATGAGTCTTTCTCCAATCCTGATGTCAAGTTCTTCTTCATAAAATTCAGCTTCTCAGTTTATTTGCTCTGGATACAGATTGAATAAGTATAGTGAAATATTACAACCCTGACGCAGACTTCTGAATTTAAGCCATGATCTGTTCAAATGTCTGCTACTTGATCTATTTACAGGTATCACATGAGCACCTGAGACCACATTAAGGAAGATCTAAAAAACAGTTTGAGGAGGAGATGAAACTCTGACTCAAGCATGCCTGCTCCCCTCCCCCTTAAATATGAACCCTTGTGCAGATGGGCACTGGGTTTTAACAAATCTCCCTCCCATTTGCTTGTTTCTTTCAACAGGCCTACAGGTTTTCCCAGCTTCCAGAAATGGTCATGGGCTCTCCCCCTCCACCTGTACCTCCCCGGACTGGTCCTGTGGCTGTTGCTTCTCTAAGGCGGTAATGCGTTCCTTTCTTTGCTTTGGGATATTTGGGAAAGATTTGGTCCTGTGAACCCTGCCCTGACAGCAAAATGTGCAAATATCCTTCAAACCTTGTCCCCTTCAGGGTTCATTAGCTACAACCTCATACCTAGTGCACTTCAAGCATGAGGGAAGTGGAAGCCACAGAAGGTTGACAACTTTTACATCCTTTTAAACAAAGATCTCTTTAGAGTTCATAGTTAAAGAAGCCCATTGTCAATATTCCGTTCCTTGACCTTGAACATTTAAAAATTATTCCATCCTGGACCACCATGACAGTCTGGGCACCTCCTGCTGTGCTTGTATTTCCCTCCCACCCACTAGAGATTCCCTTCATATTTAAGGATGGTGCCCAACACCGTTCACACTCTATCTGTGAACCACTGGTCTAGACTTCATGAGAACAGTGAAGACAATATGAATTCCCCTCAGAAAATACCATGTCCTTATTCACATGTAGAGTGCAGAGCTGTGTGTAAACACCATCCACTGGTCCCTGCAGACCCCAGCAGCCCAGGGCTCTGGTCCCTAATCAGCCAACAGCTTGTGTGACTTCAGGCAAATTGCCGTGCCTCTCTGGCCCCTGTTTCCTCATCTGTGGAATGAGAACAGTGGCCTAAATTATCTCAAAGACTCTGGGATTCCACAGAAGAAGGCCAAGGACATGGAACCAGAACACAGATTTCCCTGGGAGAAGTTGAACAAGTACTGGATGCTTGGGACAGTAAAGAAGGCAGGGCTTAGAGAGCAGAGAGAGGGAGGGAGGATGCAGGCGCTTACTTTAATGTATATTTAAATCATCTACAGTTAACTTTCTTTGGGAACCGATGGGGTGCTGCTATGTTACCCCTGGGAATGCTGGAAGAGAGGGGCCTTTGCAGCATCTTTCGGCCTCCTCCTGTGCCCTTCCACAGAGTCCTTGACAAATACCAGGACTCTAGTAGGGGTTCTGCCCTCCAAATAAACCCAGAGTATCAGACCAAGAAGAAACCTTAGAGTTGAGCTCACTCACCACTCTTGTTTTACAGACAAGGAAACTGGGCCTGAGAGAGAGGATCTAGCTGGCACTCAGCCCTCTCGCCTGGTTCTCTTGCAGTAGCTCTTGTCTGCTCTGTGACAACCTTTCCAGGGCTGGCTGCCTATCCATCTGTACAGCCATCCCTACCTCCCTCCCCTTTAACTGCGGGGGAGCCTGAGGTCCCTCTGTGAGACTGCCTCAGGCAAAGGGTGATACTTGGACGGAAAGACAGAGCCAGTGGCCTATTTATAAAAGGAAAAGAGGCCAGCATTTGTCGAATCCAGCTGGGTTCCTAGTCAGCTCAGTTCTCTGACCATTGCATGCAAATACTGTGTTAAATGCGCTCAAATCCCAGGCTGCCTGAAGGGGGCGGGATGGTTGATAATGCGAAGTTCCTGCCCCCAGGAGCTGCCTGAGCTTCGAGGAGTCCTGGCCTCTATGCTTCCTGTCCAGGTCCTTGGAAACAGGGAATGTGATCCCAGCTCCCCGGGCCTGTTGTTTTAGTGTCAGGAGGGGGTGTAGACCTCTCCCTGCACACTGAGCCTTCTCATTGGCTGCCGATGATGTCACCTCCTACCGACCATCCCCAGCTAATACCCAGCACTAATTGCTTTGCTTATTTTTATGTGGAAATTAAATGTTCTACTTCCCAGAGACACTAGACTAGAGCTGCCCTTAAGGGAGCACTGACCTTGAAGATCTAAAAATTACTTCAGCTCGAGCCACCACAAGGGGCTGCCGGTGCTCTCCCAGAAAGTCCCTTTGTTGTCTGGGGGCAGATCCAGTGCTGGGGATCCCAACTTCGTGCAGCTTGGGGGTGCGGGGGCTGCCCATTGACGGGCGGGTACTTGGCGCCCACCCCTCCTGCCTGCCCACCCCTCACAGGAGGTCAGTGGGGAGCCGCTAACACCCCCCCCTTCCCGTGTGCTCTGCCCAGATCCACCTCGGACATCGGTAGCAAGACGAGAATGGCCGAGTCCGCGGGCCCCGAGTCGACCCAGCTGCACGACAGCGCCTCCTTCGCCCAGGTCTCCCGAGGTCCCGTGTCTGTGGCGCAATTGGATCAATCGGCTTTAAATTACTCAGGTGGGCACAGGAGGAAGAAAGCCTGGAAAAGCCAGAGTGAGGGCCCAGCTGAGCCCCAGCTGCATCACCTTGCTTCACCCTGCCCCAGATCCACTCTGCAGAGGGATCCTTGTGCCTTCCACCCCCAGGTCAACCTATCTCTGATCCCCTGGTATACAGACCTCAGTAGCCCTGAGTAGTCTAACTCTTGGTGTCATTTCTTAAAATAACGATCTGAACCTGACAAAATGTTAAGCTATAAAGTCAGGGTATATAAAGTCAGAGGTTGCCAGAATCTCAGCCTTCCTGGGGCTATAGGTTAAGTGTTAGGCTTCTAACCAAAAGGTTGTTGGTTCTGAGAAAGATGAGACAGTCAGCCTCCCAAACCCAGTGGGGCCTCTGGAAGTGACTCCCTGGCAATAGGGCTTTGACATACCAACTCATTGTTGCCAACTCGGAACCAGCTCTCAGCTGGAACCTAAATCCAGTGGGTTTTCAGAGACTGTAAATGACACAGGAGAGTGACCGCCCATCTTTCTCCTGCAGAGCCCTTAGATGAACACAGACTGCCGGGCAGGCCTCATCTTTGGGTTAGCAGAGCAGCTCCTTACCTACAAGGGCATTATTTAATATCCATTTGATCTCCTAGGAATACAGTTTATCTGTTCCCCTACTGATGGACATCTTTAGGATATCCCTATTTAGGGGATATTAAAATATCCTGAAATGAAGAGTGAGGTTTGTCCCTGTTCTCGTTGTTTTTACTTAGGTGAAATTCAGGTAACCTAAGTTTTTCCATTTTTTTAAAGTGTGCATTCAGTGGCATTTAGTACATCCATTCATAATATTTGACCAGACATTTCAAGACATTTTCATCACCCAGAAGGAAACCCCATAAACCATTAAGCAGTCATTCCCCATTGTTCCCTCTCTGTTCCCAGGCCCTTGACAATCACCAGCCTACTCTCTGTCTAATAGTAAATAGATTTACTATTCTGGATGTTTCATATCCATGGACTCATCCAATATGGCTTCATGCACTTAGCATGTTTCCAGAGTTCATATATGTTGTGGCATGTAGCAGCATCTCATCTCTATATAGCTGAATAATAGACATTGAATGTTGTTGCTGTTGTTGTTGTTGTTATGTGCCATCGAGTCGTTTCCGACTCATAGCGACCCTATGCACAATAGCCCTAAACCCTGCTCTGTCCTGCGCCAACCGCACTGCCTCTGACACACCCATCCCGATTACCCCAGT